GTTGGGAGAGCAAGTACGTTCAGAGAAGCGTTGCGAGAGTTGTGTTGGAGAACACACAAACCAGCATACAGAGACACTGCAGTTTAATAGGCTTTTTCCTTCGTGGAAATAGAGGTATCAGAGTCCATCAAACAGTCCAAGTCATACATGGATAAGACAGTCAGTCATCAACGTCTTTCAGTTAAGAGATAATCCAAATAACATAGTCCAGTATCATATAATCAGTTCAGTACTCAAAGTTTGCTAGCAGTTGCAAAAACTTACAATAGCTCATGGCACTCAGATCAGATCAGCCCAGCATCTAATAAACAGAGAGCTAACAGTCATTCTGGCTCCCTCTTATGGCAGATTGAGAAAAACAGCAACCAATCACATTTTACAGTATGATTTAAAGAAACAGATACAACATTGTTACATGATTTATATATTGCCAACCCAATCTTTAGATTATATTCCTAACAGATGGGTTCTCCTTTCTGTATGGACATTCATCTCTATCTGATATCCCCTCCATTAGCAGATTAAGCAGCTTGAATCCTCAACTTTCAGATGGTGTCATAGCTGTATGGTGTCATATAGTAGCCAAAAATAAGGACGATTTTCTGACTCTCCCAAATGGATTCATTCAATAAATGGCTTAAGGTTGCCATGTGGAACGGTTCTGTTTCCTCATTAAGCATTAACCTGTCTGGAAAGTTGTGTGTTTTGTACAGAGTCTGTGTGTGCATCTGCCATCAACAATCCTTGGCTAATTTTTCTCCTTCTCAGGGTGGAATCCTTCACTCCAGATCATGTTGAAAAATCTGCCTTTACCCAGTTAGATGCCACCACTGGAAGAGCCTCACACCGTCTGGGCCGACCGGCTCTCCTTATTAGCAGCACCAGTTGGACAGGTCTGAGACTATATCTTGTCATTGAAGTAAGCCACACTTAGTTAAATAAAGCATACTTAGCTGAATGTACACAACATGCTAGATTCCAGCCCAACGCAACTCAACTCAAACCAACGCAACTCAACCCAACGCAACTCAACCCAACCCAATGCAACTCAACCCAACCCAACCCAACTAACCTCACTGTGGATTAAGACAGTGTATGGCTCCAAGTGTAGCCTTTGAAAGAGTCTGCACATTCATCTCAGAATTTTGGCATGATTATGGACCATTCTGCTTCCTGTGGCAAGATAAATTAAAAATAAGCTTTATGATTGCCTTCCATCCTCTCTTGGCTAAGTTGGCATGCAAATAGAACGATCAAATAGGAACCTAACCATAGGGTTCATATAGCCATTGCTGAGATCGCTTAGCTGTGTTGTCCATGCATATTTAATGATTCAAACATAAATTTTAAAATTTAAAATGTTGGTGTTGCTGTGAGACCTGGTCCAATATGTGACTTATCCTTCTGGGTTATTCTGAGATTGACAAATACAACAAAAAAAAATCTTTTCTCATACGCACCCCTCCCCACACTCAAAAAGCAACAACTTTTCTTGGTGGATTTTAATCCCTATCTAAAGATGAGGATTGAGCATGATTTGAATTTCCAGGGTGGTGTAAATATACACAAATACCAGTTTGCCTGATCAAAATTGAAATGCAACTTTTGTTTTCTGGCTCATAAAACATTTGTTAGCAGAGCTCGCCATTTTCTCTTAAGCAGATGTAAGGTGGCAGTTTAATTATATTATATTTCCGTTTGATGGGAGGTAAATTTGGATGGTCTTCCTGGGCATCACAGCTAAAATTGAACACCATCCAATTGCTCTTAAGATATAATGTATAGAGCAACTTTCTCCAGTTAGTAATCTCCATAGGCTTCGGGATTACTATTCCCAATTTTTTCAGCCAGCATGATAAAACTGAACTTATAACCATGATGTTTGTATAATAAATTCTGGTTCTTTTCTTTTTCTAGAGGATGAAGATTTTTCCATCCTGTTAGATGCTTTAAAAGGTGAGTTACCAAGAAAGTTTTTAGTGTTTCTTAAAAGCCAGCCATCTTCACGGTGAATGAACAAGTTTTTTCTTGCTTGCTTCTCTGCCTTGAAGAGATAAGGTTAAGAGCAGTTATTGAGATGAACTTTCCTATCAGATCTTTGTCTTTGCTCGCAGGGTTGATGATTTTTTAAATTTTATTTTCAAAAAATGGATTTTTAAAATTTAAATCAGATTTTTTTTTATTTTTATCAAATTTATTTTAATAAAATGCTTTTGGAGTGAAAATCTATCTAAAGATAGTTTTCTATTTAAGATGCATTAATAATTTCGTTTATTCGGCATGAACTGGAGCTTAGTTATATAGCATGAGGCTGTATATTCTGCACTCTTGGAACTGTTGGTGAATCAACCGCAGATCAGAGGAGGAGCCACTGCGGGACAGAGATGACAGCTGCTCTTTAAAAATTATGATTTAAATCGAGTGGATTTAAATGAAGCCTTTTCACTAGTGATTTAAATTGACTTGATTTAAATCAAATCCACTCTGCTTGCTCCGGTAATAAAATTGGCTTCCAAAAGCCAAAAGTTATCATAATATGGGTAATTTTATAATATTCTCACCAGAGCTCTTGTCTTTTTTTTTCAAACCATACGGCCAAGCCTGATGTATACATTCAGCTGGATTCTTTTCCTAACCTTGTCAAATGGAGCAAAACTCACTTAATAAGGGACATGCTTAGCAGTGAAAATTTTGGGCTCAATTGTGGTTGTGTGTGTGTGAGAGGGGAGAGAGGGGAAAGAGAGAGAGAGGGAGAGGGGAGAGAGAGAGGAGGGGGAGAGAGAGAGAGAGACTTGCAATGTCTGGCTAGTGTGTGGTTCATTATCACTAAAACGATTTTGTGGGTGAAAAGTTTTTGAAAAGCATAGAGAGAAAAAGTTGTTCAGATTTTATGCTTGTATTGTTTATAGGAAGTCTTTCCAATTTTGGTGCCCCTCAAAATTTGGCACCCCTAGAACCTTCCCTGCTTTATAGGATGCTGCATCAATCCTCTTTGCTTTTCCCTTTTTGAAATCAGAGTGAATTTGCGGTACCAAACATATATTCCCTTTGAAATCTCAAGTCCAGCTCTCAGTTTTGAAAATTCCTGCCTTAACTAGTGAAGTTTGCCTTTTGTAGCCTACCCAAATAATTCCACATTCTTTGCTATCTCTTCTTTTCCACAGAGTATGAGCACTGTGTCAGCAATGGAACAAAGCTTCCTTCTCTTGTGTGTGTGATCACAGGTAGCACCTTTGAATTGTTCATTTTTCCAAAATTCTGCCCTGGTTTCTTCCAGTATTTTGAGCTGCTGCATAAAATGCTTTCGTTTAGAAGTGGGAGCATCTAACATTCAGCTACTTGTATGTCATGCATTCTTGTTCTGAGTATTTATAACCGTGGCATGACAAAACCGCGCTCGTCAAAATCGCGGTGATAAAATCGCGGCGCTAAAGCTGCGACGTCATCACCGCGCGTCATCACCGCCGCGACAACAGCGCGGCAACAGAAGGGCGCTTTAAAACGGCGCCACGGCAGAAAACCGACTTCAATTAAGGTAAGCGTTAGGATTAGGTTTAGAGGTTTGTTTTAGGGTTAGGTTTAGCGTTTAGGGTTAGGGTTAGGGTTA